GTGTGTGTGTGTGTGTGTGTGTGTGTGTTTGTTACGAACTCACGCAATCATATAATTCAAACACACTCATGTGGGTAGAACAAGTAGCAGCCTAATAGATATCACTGAGTGACCACTCAAAGTTACCAAGTTCCTATAATTATTATGTGTGCACATGTGCGTGCGTACGCATGCTCGCAGTGTACGTGTGTGTGTGTGTGTGTGTGTGTGTGTGTGTGTGTGTGTGTGTGTGTGTATGTGTGTGTGTGTGTATGTGTGAGTGTGTGTGTACGTAGTGAAACACCAAATCAAAGTTTCAAGATCTGGACAATAAAGATGTATCTTATCTTATCTTATCGAAAATAAAGTATAAGGGCAATACTGCAGTGTGGTTTAGGACATCCGTAGGCCTACTTTGAATCGAAAATCAAATTAGATCTAGTTATTTTTATTCCTGTCGATATATCTGACAACACTGGAGCTTTCATTATGGAAAGTGTTTGTAAAATTGGCAGCTGCATTTTTTGGTCAACTGCTCAAACCTTGATGAGAATTCTACTGAAAAGCAGGCTAACTATAGATCTACATGGCCATGGAATCACCTCAAGCAATGGCTAACCGGAAGTAACTGTAGAATCAAGGAAGTAAGATGGCGTCTACACAGTTCTGAGTCTGCTAGTTAGGGCTGCCCAGTTTTGTGCAAACAAATTTTTTGCAACATCGTTTTGACAGTTGGAAGGTTTTCATCCAGCTGTTGAAATGGCTCGCCCTATTATGCCAGCCCAACAGAAGTTGGCTGAAAAGCTAACCATTCTGAATGACCGTGGCTTAGGCATGCTAACCAGAATTTATAACATCAAAAAGGTAGGCTCCTTCTGTGAATACTCTAATCCTGTTGTGTGATACTGTGACTGTGATGATCATCAGCCTGATATAGATCTAGAGTCTAATATTCTTGCTGGACTTGACTGATTTGACTTAGAAGTTAGAAAAACCTAGACTTATCAATTACAGCTATTTTCTAGTTTGGTGCGTTTAATTCAGATTTGGTAGATTCTAGATCGAGTGTGAACGTTAGGCAGGCTTAGCTTTGACCCTCCGATTTCCCAGATAACTGTTGATTGTTGGCTTGGCATTATTGTCACCAGTTTCTGTCTGTCACCTGTGTTGTGTAGAAGAGTGTTGTAGTAGCAGCACTCTCCTGTTTTGGCTCCAAGAGTACTGGATATCGATACTAGCTTAAATACTGGGCATCAATGTTTCATGCGAAAGAGCGAGAGCTGCGCTGCTAGAGTGCAAGAGATATATCTAGAATCTAGGTTGGCGGATTTCACTGTTAGGACCCACAGGTTTCCCACTTTCCCAATTTTTTTCAGGATTTTGAACTTTTTCAAAAGGTTATAGATGTAGATATCTAGATCTAGATCTAGATCTAGATCTAGATCTAGTAGGTTTCTAGATCTAGATTAGATCTAGATCTAGAAATCTATGTTGCAGTTGTATCAATGGAACTTAAAAGGTCATTCAAAGAGGAATTAATTTTTTTTAGAGAGAATCAAAGGCTTTTGTGAAAAAAGTTATTAAATAAAATATGTAACCTTACCTTAGTGCAAACAATACAATCCATTAATATCCCCAAATTCTGTATAATAATCCATTTAATTGAATTCACTGTCCTCCAAAATCATTATGTACACAATAAATGAAAATAATAAAAATAGAAATAAACAATAAAAAGGGAATAACTGAAAGAAAAAGAAAAAAAGAATCAGTTGAAAAAATGGCTCAGAACGTTGGAACAGCCTATAAGACCACGAAATCATCGTCTGCAACGATCTGGATGGCTCAAAGTCTTATTATCGGCATCAAACGAGACAATCACAAAGAGAACGCGCTATTTTTGTCCTTTCTAACGTCTTTTGTTTACTTCCTACGTGTGCTGCACGTTGTGTTGCAGTCTTTCAATCAATATAAACATAGTAAATATGACATATAAGCGCGTGTAATTGGGTTGGATTTGTATTGCGTTCCAACGTTGGTGTGTTCCACACGTCGTAGTCTTACAAAGAAAAAACTTGGAAAACAAGACAAAACATCCACCTCATCGAAAAGGACGCTAAAGAATGAAAGAAGGACACCAAATGGAAGTAGTTTTTAGCCTCAGCTTCGCGGAAAGCCCTCATGATTTTCCGTATTATATCTTCGAGAAATGCCGGTCCCGGATGTGAGCTGTCGGAGACTTAACGGGAGGGGTGCGTCACAAAATACTCTCGAATCTACTAATAATTTCTTCAATTTTCGCAAATTACGGCTAAACCGATGTAGAAATGAGTATCGCGTAGTCTGACCATAAAAACTTCCATTCATTTTGCTTTTGGAAGTAAATTTAGCGCTTCACGTAGAGTCAAAATGTAGGGCTGAGTTCCGCGATTTACGACCACCATTTCACTCTGTCCGTTGCCATTTCAAACCGGTGCTACATTTCATTTTTTTCACATTAATAGAAAAACATACTTCTTGGGTGTTCTAGCCAAATATCAAACGAAATAAACAAAGTCAACACTTGCTTTTTATTCACGTGTTTATTGGGCCCATAAACAATCAAAACAACACAAATTGAACACAAAACAGTACAACAGGAGAATTTTATTTAAAATTTAAAAAATAAACCCTGTGTTGTCTCTCAGCTCACATCCTTACAGTGAAATCCACCGTACTTAATCTAGATAGTGCCCGAGGCCAGTAGATTGTAGTTACACAACCCAACACCTCTCATTAATTTTAGAGCATGCATGAGAGTGTTTTGGGGTGTGTTCATGAGAAATTGTACATTTCTGTGTAGGCCCTACAGCTTCCCTGGTTTTGTCCTATAGTTTCGAACAGGAAAAAAGATGCTCCCTGTGTGGTAACATTTGCGTCTCTAATATAATATTTATTCACAGAAGTTGTAAAAATTACATTGACTATTGAAGATACCCAAAAAAAAAAGCATCATAATTTGATATAGATCTATTTTAAAATTAAATTTTTGTTTTTGAATTGCACACACCCTTTTCGCTTTCATAAAATTGTTGTCGTTCTTTTTTTTTTCAGATGCTTGGCAGTCCAGAAAATAAACCAGGTCTCTTGAGTGACAAAAATCTTCAGCCAGCAATTGATAAAGTGCTGCTGAAAAAATTCCCACTCTATGACAACAAAGCGAGTCAGGTAAAAGAATGCTTCTTGCATTCCTTATTTTGAATGTTTTGTGAATATTGCTATGCTCTCAGTTTATTATATGATAATAATTTCCCCTCCCCCCACATTCTTTTTCCATAGGGCCTACTATTTTGAGGTTGGGATCTCTAGATAATGTGTTGTTTTTATATTAGAGAAATAAATACCTTTACAATATTGCAGTGTAAAAGTACACTGTACCTGATGTGATGATTGCCTTGATGCTGGAAGTTTTTCAAGTAAAGTGAAATACATGTCTGCTTCTGTTATTAATTGTGTATGACATAAAGGTGTTTTTGTTTCTGCTCATTTGTTGATGTCATTAGTCTCTGTTAATAAGTGGCGTTGCGAGCGCCGTAAAACCTCTACTAAAGCATAAAACATGTTAACAAGTGGCATTGGTCAGACGTAATTGTAAGATTGCGGGTTGGAGGGTTTCAGCCTCAGCTCAGTCCGACGCTGTGTCCGTGGAAAGGCACTTTACAGGAATTTCCCACTTCGCTCTGTCCTTTCGGAGATGGACGTTAACTTGGAGGTCCCGCCACTTTCGATGTGCCCTTACTTGTGTAATGTCTGTGTCTTGCTCTGGTGGAAGAAACTGACTTTGCTAGTTTCATCCTGAGTGGTCTTGCTGTTGTAACATACTGGTTATAAAGTATACACGTACACTAGAACTCAAATGTGCTCAAATGGCCACCTGTTCAAAACAATCACCTTAAAAAACGACCACTTCCCACTTCCCCCTTGCATTTGAAAAAATATAGATAACGATGTTGTTCAAGACATTCACCTGTCCAAGACAACCGCTTTTCTCCTTGACAATGGGTGGCCGTCTTGGACACACAATTTCAACCGTTCGTTATATTTTAATATTTGTTCTTCTTCTTCCCCAGCTGGGAGTGGTGAACCAGAATAAGAACGAGATCATCAAGAGTCTGTCTCTCTATTATTTTACCTTCGTTGACATCCTCATGCTGAAGGTAAGTATTTTAATATATGAATCAATAGCATTTATCATGAGCCCGATAGAATAGGTTAACCCTAACAATGTCATCTTAGCAGAGACTGTGCCCACCATTTCGGAACTTCACGGTGACCGTAAAGATGGTTCCAGTAGGGAACGGGATAGAGGGTGCCCACGTCCCTCGTGACTCATTGGAGCAGAGGAAGATTGGACTAACGCTAGCATTACTTAAACGCAACCCCACATCATCACTTATCACTACCATTATTTCTATAATCCTGGGATCTCTATCTGTAACAGTTACTTGTCATATTAAGTATGCTGGTAATATATATTATTGGACACCATCATATGTACTTTTTTCTACTAATCAGATGTCGTCAATCTCATATAAATGGACGAGGGATAAAAAAAAAAGCATTTATCATTTATCATGTAGCGCTCTTCCCCGCATCTCCCGTGGGTGGGTGGCGGGCTCTCCGGTGTGGTTTGCTCCGTCTCTCCTATCAAACATCATCGTCCTTGTCTCTCGTCTTTCTTTTCTTTGTATCTTATTCTCAAGTAACACCTCTAGTCTTTGGCCCTTATATGACCAATTTGTGTTACAATTGCTGTTAAACTCTTACTAAAACTGAGCTCTGTCCTGTTAGGAAACAAGCTCTGAGCCTATGCACAGCATCTTCATCTTTTCTATTTTATGCATAAAGTATAGTGGGTGGTTGGCGGGTGCTCTGGTGTGGCTTGCTTCTTCTTTCCTATCAAACCTCTGTCGTCCTCATCTCCCCTCCTTCTTTTTTTGTGTTTTTTTTCTTTCTTGTAACACCTCTAATCTTCGGCACTCATATGACCTTATTGTGTTTGTAGGTGCCGTAAAACGCTTTCTAAAACTGAACTAAGCATAAAGTATTATGGTGTCAAAAATTTTATTTTCTTTCCTATCAAACATGTATCGTCCTTTTCTCCCCTCCTTCATTTGATACTCTCGTAACTCCTCTTATCTTCTGGCGCTCATGTGACCTTATACAGTTGCGAGCGCCGTAAAACCTCTACTAAACTAAAATTTTATTTTTTAAAAAGTCTATTTTGTTTGTCCCCAGGATCATGTGGTGGACCTTGTCACTACCATCGATGCTTGTCAAGCACAAATGGATATTGTGAGTTCCCCCCCCCCCCCCCCCCCCCAAGCATATATGTTACGTACTGTGAAGGCAATATGTGAAGCACCATGGTGAAATCAAAGAAATCAGCATTTTTCTGCCGGTTTTGTCAATTTTTATTGTATCTTACTGTGTGGGCTAACACGTTTAGTGTCGATTTAAAAGCACATTTCTGTGTTGATTTTACTGAAAAACGTTGGTTAAAGGCTAAAAAAATATAAATTTCCAGTTTCTCAAGCTATGGAAGTCAGCAAACTTTGGCGGCCATTTTCACGCTAATTTTACCACTGAAAACAAAAACAAAAAATTGTGCGGTAACATGACCAAGACTGAGTCAATAGTGCCGTAAACCCCCCACTCAAACAAACAAAAGAATACCGTAATAGTCTAACAGGAAAGTTGCCTGCAACATGTCCTCCCGCCTTAATGCTTTTATATTGTAACAAAAACATGACCCTCTATGTCCTCCAGACCTTGAACTATGACCTGACCAAGAGCTACCTTGACCTCATCGTGACCTACGTCAGCATCATGATCCTGCTGTCCAAGGTCGATGACCGTAAGACGGTGCTGGCTCTCTACAACTCTGCCCACGAGTTCCTGCATGGGCGCGGGTAAGTCTCCGTCTAGTGGAGGGGTTGCCAAAGTACCGGCCTGGGTCAGACCTGGCCCACGTGGTCAATTCCTTTGGCCCACCGTCCTACTACTACTACAGTGTGGCAGAGAAGAAAAAAAACAACCCCAAAATAAAACGAAAACTCGGAAGATATATTGAAAGATGTATTGATAGAATGCTCAGGACTTCACGGCCTCAATGCTTTCTTGTCGTATCCTTATTTTTTCAAACAGTGAAAAGTGGGTGGTTGGCGGTTGCTCTGGTGTGGTTTGCTCCTTCTGTCCTATAAAAAATCTATCGTCTCTATCTCCCCTCCTTCTTTTTTATGTTTATTACTCTCTTGTAACACCTCTAATCTTCTGGTGCTCATATGACCTTATTGTGTTGCAAGTGCCGTAAAACTCTTACTAAAACTAAACTGATTTGAATCTTTCCTCTCCTCTCAGGGATCAGAGCTACCATCGTCTGGGCCAGATGTTCCTGGACTACGACCCTCCCATGAAGAAACTGGCTGAGGAGTTTGTGCCCCACTCCCGTGTAAGTTGGGCGTCTTCTCGTTGTAACTGATATGCTTCTGTTCAATGTAGGTGTTTTTTTAAGTCCCCGTCAACACAGTTTAGATCTTTCAGGAGGCGAGTTTGTGTCAATATGCTTCTCTTTACTCAAACAAAACACAAAATTATCATTTTTGTGTCAATATGCTTCTCTATACTCAAACAAAACACAAAATTATCATTTTTGTGTCAATATGCTTCTCTTTACTCAAACAAAACACAAAATTATCATTTTTGTGTCAATATGCTTCTCTTTACTCAAACAAAACACAAAATTATAATTTTTGTGTCAATATGCTTCTCTTTACTCAAACAAAACACAAAATTATCATTTTTGTGTCAATATGCTTCTCTTTACTCAAACAAAACACAAAATTATTATTTTTGTGTCAATATGCTTCTCTTTACTCAAACAAAACACAAAATTATCATTTTTGTGTCAATATGCTTCTCTTTACTCAAACAAAACAAGATAATCGTTTTTGTGTTAATGTACATCTTTTTACTCGAACAAAACAAAATAAATCGTTTTTTGTGTCAATGAGCTTCTCTTCACTCTAACAAACAAACGAACAAACAAACTGATTGTCCCGCTATTCTCTTGCTCGTTCCCAGTCTCTGATGCCAGCGTTGATGTCGCTGCACAAAGTGTACGCACGCCGCAACTTGCCAGCCGACATGCTGAGAAACAACCAGGTGTTGGCCGTTCTGTCGGAGCCCGCCAAGATGGCCGCCGTACCGGAAACGGATACGGTAAGGCGTTATTGTGTATTGTATGTGTGGCGGGTGATTTCGTCGTTTGTGTCGGTTTGCGCCTGAAGACATACCGACTGTTGTTTAGGGTTCTTTTATTAAACAAAAAAAAAACCCTGTGCATTATAGACCGCTGAATGAGACTTTTAGTGTATCTTCAGCTACATTCAACTTTCGTAAATTCTTTAACGTGTTATGTTAAAGATCTATTGACCCACTGAATGTCGTTAATCGTAGTTGAAAGGTCTGTTGGTGTGACCTTTTGAATGCTATTTATTGGGGTTGAAAGATCTTTCTAATTGTGGGTGGTTGGAGGGCGCCACTGGTTGGTCCTGTATTTTTTCTATCCCTCTGTTGTGTTTGTCTATCTTTCTTACTTTCCCCCCTCTACTAAATGACCGTGTTTGTGTCAGTTTGCATCTCCGTACTTAAACAAACAAACAAACAAATAAATGTGAGACTTGCCAAGTGGGAGAGGAAAGAGGATGAGAGGAAGGAGGTGGAGGAAGACAGATTTACATTGTGGGAGTCTGAAGACATATAGACAAAAGCTGTTTAGGGGTCTTTCAATTAAACCCCAAAAACCCCTGTGCATTATAGACCGCTGAATGAGACTTTTGGTGCATTTCCAGCTAGATTCAACTTTTGTAAATTCTTTAACTTGCTATGTTGAGGATCTGACGATCTTATGAATGACGTTTATCGTTGTTGAAAGCTCTCGTGGTGTGCCCTTTTGAATGTTGTGTATTGTGGTTGAAAGATCTATTAATATGACCTTCTGAATGTAGTTTATTGTGGTTGAAAGATCTATTTGTCTGACTTTCTAACTGTTGTTTATTGTGGTTGAAAGATCTATTGGTCTGACCTTCTGAATGTTGTTTATTGTAGTTGAAAGATCTATTGGTCTGACTTTCTAACTGTTGTTTATTGTAGTTGAAAGATCTATTGATATGACCTTCTGAATGTAGTTTATTGTAGTTGAAAGATCTATTGATATGACCTTCTGAATGTTGTTTATTGTAGTTGAAAGATCTATTGGTCTGACTTTCTAACTGTTGTTTATTGTAGTTGAAAGATCTATTGGTCTGACTTTCTAACTGTTGTTTATTGTAGTTGAAAGATCTATTGGTCTGACTTTCTAACTGTTGTTTATTGTAGTTGAAAGATCTATTGGTCTGACTTTCTAACTGTTGTTTATTGTAGTTGAAAGATCTATTGGTCTGACTTTCTAACTGTTGTTTATTGTAGTTGAAAGATCTATTGGTCTGACTTTCTAACTGTTGTTTATTGTGGTTGAAAGATCTATTGGTCTGACTTTCTAACTGTTGTTTATTGTGGTTGAAAGATCTATTGGTCTGACTTTCTAACTGTTGTTTATTGTGGTTGAAAGATCTAATGGTCTGACTTTCTAACTGCAGTTTATTGTGGTTGAAAGATCTATTGGTATGAACTTCTGAATGTTGTTTATTGTAGTTGAAAGATCTATTGGTCTGACCTTCTGAATGTTGTCTATTGTAGTTGAAAGATCTATTGGTCTGACCTTCTAACTGTTGTTTATTGTAGTTGAAAGATCTAATGGTCTGACTTTCTAACTGTTGTTTATTGTAGTTGAAAGATCTAATGGTCTGACTTTCTAACTGTTGTTTATTGTAGTTGAAAGATCTATTGGTCTGACTTTCTAACTGTTGTTTATTGTAGTTGAAAGATCTATTGGTCTGACTTTCTAACTGTTGTTTATTGTAGTTGAAAGATCTATTGGTCTGACTTTCTAACTGTTGTTTATTGTGATTGAAAAAAAGTATTGGCATGACCTTCTTACTGTTGTTTATTGTGATTCGCAGGTCCAGTGCGATTACCTGTCACTTGATTCAATGGAGCGCTGGATTATTTGTAAGTAACAGGAACTTTCAGTGACCTTTGAACTATTAAAATACTGAATTTATCTTTGAAATATTTCTGGCCAGTGTATTCTGACTGACATTACAACGTTCCCCTTATAAATTTGCCTTTACCAAAATGGCAGCTGCCATGAGATAAATTTTCTTTAAAAAATGGAAAAAAAAAACCAACCCTGCGCCATACACCCAAAGAAAGTGTTGTAATAGCTTCTGATGGTTGTTCTAGGAATAGTTTGTGATATTAAAAACGAGTTCTGGGCGATATGAAAAACTGGTATGCGCGATCGGCGAACCAATCCACACACAGTGGGTTGTTCAGGCTGCATGGAATTTACGCATTGGTTTATGGGTCTCTTCTTTTAGCATTGCTTGACTAAAGAGATTGGCTATGTGGATAGAAGTAAGACAGGTTGATTCTCCAAAATGGCCAAGAGGCTCTACATGTGTAGTAAATTTGAGAGTGTGGAAAAAAACAGGCTCTTCATCACATGATGCAATTTTTGGGCCCTTTTTAACCCTATCCGTACGTCGTGTTTTACTGTCGTATCCGTACGACGTGGGGAACTCTCTGCCACCACTTAACCCTATCCGTACGTCGTGTTTTACTGTCGTATCCGTACGACGTGGGGAACTCTCTGCCACCGCTTAACCCTATCCGTACGTCGTGTTTTACTGTCGTATCCGTACGACGTGGGGAACTCTCTGCCACCACTTAACCCTATCCGTACGTTGTGTTTTACTGTCGTATCCGTACGACGTGGGGAACTCTCTGCCACCACTTTCATAGTTGAAATTTACCTGTTAATCCGATCTCTACGCTTTGCATAGCAGTCTGTCAAAATTATTTTTTGAGAAATACTGAA